TCCGAGTTTTTTAAGGTATTTGTGATTTGCTTCGAATGTTACGGATATCTACTTTTGGTATTTGCTTTGCTTCGAAAAAATACGGATATCCGGAAAAACGGATATCCGGAAAATAAATAGATATTTGCGGATATTTACGAATATTTACGGATATCTCATCCATTTTGATTAATAAACATAATCTTAAGATTTTGATACAAATTTGCTTTGCAAAAATATTTTTTTGCATGATATATAAAATAAAACTTAAAAGAACTAGTGAATTTATATATTTTGTAATTTTTTTAAGCTTAAGTTACAATTATAATAACACAAAATTTAAGAAAAAAATATAATTGTCATAATTTTCTTTCTTTCTTTTTATGTAATACTTTTATATAAGTAATAATTTGAATAGAATTGTTCAAAATCATATGCTAGAATAATAATTATATAATTTTATACATTTAAAATGTTAAATATAATCAAGATATACATATNTATAATAACACAAAATTTAAGAAAAAAATATAATTGTCATAATTTTCTTTCTTTCTTTTTATGTAATACTTTTATATAAGTAATAATTTGAATAGAATTGTTCAAAATCATATGCTAGAATAATAATTATATAATTTTATACATTTAAAATGTTAAATATAATCAAGATATACATATATTTATATATTTACGGATCGGACCGGATATCCGCTTCCCAAAATTTTACTATTTGTGATTTGCTTCGATTTTAACGGATATTGAATTTTAGTATTTGCTTTGATTCGAAAGTTTACGGATATCCGGAATTTTTGGATCGAATCGAAACGAATAACGAATCGAATCAAATATAACGGATAAAATGCCCAGCCCTAGTAGTGGTGAAATAAAAGGCGGACCATTCTATTTAATACCAATAATAACAAAATTGGGAGATGGATGGTGCGATAATGGCGACAACATGTTCCAACTGTCATTTGCCCCCAGGGTCTAGGACTCTCTCTCTCTCTCCCTATCCCTAGCCAACCCTTTCGTCTATTTAATTTTAATTAAATTTTAAACTAATTTATTTTAAGAACTTTGCTTATAGCATGGGTCTTGATTGAATAGATTATCATATCCTCTTACCTTTGGTATCTCATTCGGACTTGCTTTTATTGATAGTACAAGCTTTATACGCTTCATGCATTGATCTTGCCCACAATATTCTCGGCATTGGCTTTGTAGACTAGTTCCTTTCTCTACTTTAGTTTTACCATTTCATCTCAGTGATGATATCCATCAAGAATATTGCAAATATATGGCCATATGAAAACAAAATCGACTAACGAGCTGATAGAATAATCAGGAATCTTGTATTGGAAAGAATAAGGAACTAATAATTAACGAATTAGTACGTAGAAGACATAAGTTTCAACTGATCATTCTTGAATGTGAAATTATAATACATGTTTTCTTTATGTAATAGCAAAACCTTTAAACCCAAAACATATATTTATCTCAAGAATAATCATTTATATAACTGGATGGAACATCAGGAACCTCCACGTATAAAGTTATGTTAACATGTAAACCGATGATTATAATGTTGAGTTTGACTTCGTCTCCTGATAGTCTTGACCTTTAGGGTTCCTAGACACACACACACACAATGATCATACATGCTTAAATTTATTTTTAATAGTACATTTGGTGGTGTAGGTACTATTGATTGACATCAGAATAAACATAAGAAAACAGAAATTAAAAAGGTATACAGATAGTGGGTTTAATAAATGTATATGCAAAATTATATATTATTGGTGGGGTAGGTTTTGTATGGGGAGAGGGGGATACAGAGGAATCAAACCCAAGTTTGCTGAAAGAAAATATTCAATTGTATGCAAAATTGGATATGTCTTAAATCTTATTTTCATTTCAATATAACTTTTCTTGCTATTATATATATCACAATATTCTTTAGCATTATAATTAACACGTGTAAGAACCTTCACAGTTACTGTCATTTGTTTTGTTGTCATTACATTTGTAAATTTGGCAATACATATGCATACACTCCTTTGTCCAAAACAAATAAAAAATATGCATACACTCCAATATGTATATTTATGGCTTCTGCAATGGCTGCATAAGTCAGCTTCTCATTATCCCAGCCCAAGCCATATATACATCCACATAATTCAACCACATGTACATTTTACATGCACATGTCAAAACAAAAGACATGCATGTAATGATGACCCGGCCAAATTAGCAAATTATTTACATCACAAGATATTTATGAAAATGTCAATGGCTATGTGCTGGTAAGCTGGTGACTGAAATAGTTGAGTATATTATTAAATCTAAAAAATAATTATACGTTCGATCCCTTCCACAACAACTTTGTTTGTTTGTAACTAGACGTATAAAAATCAAGTGATCTTTGGTAGAAATGCGAGATATATACATTGATCTCGTCTTCACCTAATGCACGACTTGCCAGGTTTTAAGATGTTAATGAAGGTTTCGATGTGGAAGATTCGTTTACACATGAAAGATGTAATGAATAGGAAGGTGAGGGTGGTCCAGCCAAATAAAAGACGATAGGTAAAGATCAAAAGGATCCCATCGTCCCTTCACAATTCTGATATTTGTTTATTAGGTTTAGTCGCTTTCCCTTTTCAAACAACACAACACCCACATTTACAAAATGTTATATAATAATACCATATACATTCAGTTAAATATTATTTATTTCTAGCGTCTTTCCATTGTCATATTCATTTTCTAAGGAAGAGGAGTGATTCGATTCATATCAAGTACAAGAAAATGGGCTAGGCAAGTAGAAAAGCCTAAATTATATGGAACAACTTATAGCCCATTAGTTGCCTGTAGACTGTATTAATATCGCGAAGGTTTCAATGTTTTCTCTCTTGCTTCCAAACATCATTGGGCTTGCATCGGATTAGTGGGCTTTATTTGTGGCTGGGTTACGTGGCACTTTCACATTGGTACTTTTTTTATATCATGATAATTAGAGCTGGTCAATGCTGATGTGGCTTTGACAAACTGATTAGTTCAAGTTAGGCTTTGTCGGATTTATATCACTGTACCATGAGATTTTATAGACTAGTCATCATTCATTAGCGATAAACATTCATTTGAATAAATATAAGTATCCTTAAAAAGATAATCTTCGTTTCCGTCGTTCAAAAATCATGAAATTTCTAAGTGGTTACAATCCATCGACATCTGCGTTATATTTTAACACTAAAACAACGTGATAATATGAAACCAATGGCTTCTATGGTGTGACATATTGTAACAAAGATGGTGACTGTATCATCGCTTTTTTCTTTCTTTGCATGAGCTGCTTAGTAAACCGCTATCAACATTAATGTAACTATTATTGCATTTAGGAATATAGTTTGTAGTAACCCGTTTGTTTATAAAGTGTGCTTTTCTACCTTTTTCTTTCACAATATCCTAATATTTTTATTAGAAACAGAACAATTTCTTTTACTTTAAAGAAAGTTGAATTCATGTTTTTATAGTGGATCTAATTCTTAGGGCTGGGCATTTTATCCGTTATATTTGATTCGATCCGTTATTCGTTTCGATTCGATCCGAAAATTCCGGATAACCGTAAACTTTCGAATCAAAGCAAATACTAAAATTCAATATCCGTTAAAATCGAAGCAAATCACAAATATTAAAATTTTGGAAAGCGGATATCCGATCCGATCCGTAAATATATAAATATATGTATATTTTGATTATATTTAAAATTTTAATTGTATAAAGTTATATAATTATTATTTTAGCACATGATTTTGAACAATTCTATTCAAATTATTACTTATATAAAAGTATTACATAAAAAGAGATAAAATATTTTTGACAATTATATTTTTTTCTTAAATTTTGTGTTATTATAATTGTAACTTAAACTTTAAAAAATTACAAAATCTATAAATTTACTAGTTCTTTTAAGTTTTATTTTATATATCATGCAAAAAATATTTTTGCAAAGCAAATTTGTATCAAAATTTTAAGATTATTTGTACTAATTAAAATGGATGAGATATCCGTAAATATTCGTAAATATCCGCAAATATCTATTTATTTTCCGGATATCCGTTTTTCCGGATATCCGTATTTTTTCGAAGCAAAGCAAATACCAAAATTAGATATCCGTAACACTCGAAGCAAATCACAAATACCTTAAAAAACCCGGATATCCGATCCGTGCCCACCCCTACTAATTCTACCGTGGGAGTAAGACATATGCATAGTAGATTAAATCATTATTTCCGGTTAAAATTTATTATAAAATTTGAAGTAATAATGAATTAATTAGATTTCTCAGTTTTGTTTTGTCTCATAAACTAATCAACCAATTATGACTCATTCATCAACAACAAAATTATCAATTATACATCAAAAAAACTCTTAACAATCTTTAATTTCTATAAGGAAATAATCAAATAATCCAGTAATTAAATATAAAATAAACCATATAAGTACATGATTTTTTGCACAAAAAACCATATAAGTATCTATAATATTATTGTTAAGAAAACTATATATAATATTATTAAAACAACTTAAAGATTAATCAGAAAACTTAACAATTTTTTGCCTTTTAATTATTAAATAAAAAAGGTAATATTCTGAGATATTTCCTAGGTCCTTTCCTCGTGGAACTTGGATCCAAGACGTCAATTCTTCTCAAGGCTTGTTGTCGAGTACAAGTAATAAACTCTTTTGCTCATAAACTTAAACCAAATCTCAATCTCCCACACACACACACAACAAAACAAAACAAAAAGTTTCAAAAAACAAAACACAGAAAATAATATAAAGTCGATAGCTTTACTGTATAATTAACAAAAAAACAGTTCGTTCTGAAAAAAAAAAGATTAGATTTTCCTCTGTTTCGTTCTTCTCTCTGTTTTTGTTCTCTGTTTCGTAGTATCAATGGAGGTTGAATCAACTAAAGATCCGAACTTTTAAAACGGGTCAAAAAACCCAAAACCCGGATGGACACGGCACGACTTGTGGGTGACTACGAACTTGGCCCGAGACTCGGGTCTGGTTCCTTCGCTGTGGTGTGGCTAGCGAAGCATCGATCCTCTGGTTTAGAAGTCGCCATCAAGGAGATTGATAAGAAGAAGCTTAGCCCTAAAGTCAGAGATAATCTCCTCAAGGAGATTTCTATTCTCAGCACTATTGATCATCCCAACATCATCAGATTCTATGAAGCTATTGAGGTTTATATCTTTTGTTGTTTTCTTTGTCTTAATATAAATTTTTGATTTTTGGGTATTGAAATTGTGAATTTTGTAGACTGGAGATAGGATATTTCTTGTGTTGGAGTATTGTAGTGGAGGTGATCTTGCTGATTATATCAATGTCCATGGCAAAGTCTCAGAAGCTGTTGCTAAGCATTTTATGAGGCAATTGGGTAAGATCAGTTTTTGTTCTGTTTTTATGTGTTTGATATGTTGAATCTTTGTTTGATGTTTGAGTCTCTGTTCTTGTGTTCTTGTGTTTTGTAGTTTTTAAGTTTAGAGTATTTTTTGATGTTTGAATATCTCTGTTTTATGTTCCTGTGTTTTGTAGTTCTTTTAATTTAGAGTGTTTTTTTGATGTTTGAATATCTCTGTTTTATGTTCTTGTGTTTTGTAGTTTTTTTTTTTT